GCTACTAGTAGTAGAACATCATTTTCATGGTACGAAAAAGGTTAGCCTTCAGATGCCTTCAGAACTTCAGCACATTGACTGAACTCTTTTGGAAGTCCTTAAAGCTAGTTCGCCTAAGGCCTGCTCGGTTCTACATCCGGACGGACCTTTGCAACATTCTCAGATGTTGGAGACTCAGATTTTTTAGCTTTCCGATGGCAACAGCATCTAGTAACAAAGTGCATCGCTACTAGGAGCAAGGACGCTACTAGGGGCTCCTGGCCGTACTACTAGGAACAAGAAGCTAGTAGTAACAAAGTGCATCGCTACTAGGAGCAAGACGCTACTAGGGGCTCCTGGCCGTACTACTAGGAACAAGAAGCTAGTAGTAACAAAGTGCATCGCTACTAGGAGCAAGAAGCTCTTTGTTCTTTAGACCTTGAGACATTTCTTCTTTCTTTCCTTTTTTCAGACTCCAGTTGGACTGGTTCTGGCTTTGCTGATAGACAACCCTTGCCTGTGTTCTTGTTCCGAAGTCCTTCATGACGGGAGTGGTCCTGGGTGATAGTTCAGACCAGCCATAGCATCTGCGAGGAAGGAAGTGCGACCGGACCACTCTTTCCCATGTTCAAGGTTGACGGACTTGTTTTTTTCTTGGTTTGGCATTCCCCTCAGGTTTGAGCCTGCGGATCTGGAAGACGAGCGCCAACTTGTAGCGGATCTCTGGCTTCTTCCTTAGCACAAAGAGTGGGCCAAAAGAAACGAAAACACTGGACTGATAGTCTTCTCATTGCACTCAAGTCTGCAGGGACACTCCGTCCAGTGTTTCTTTTTCCCACACTCCCTTGGATAGGTTGGAGGCGGTCGCTAGTAGGTTGGAGGCCCTTGGACTCTGCATTTCTTTTCGAGGATTTGCCTGCGCCGTGGTGAGCTGAGCAAGGGCTTGAAGCTCTGCGCGGAGAGTGGCCAGGCGATCGGTGCAGCGAAGCGCAGGAGCCCCTAGTAGCTTCTTGCTCCTAGTAGCGATGCCAGGAGCCCTAGTAGCTTCTTGTTCCTGCTCTGCTTTGCTTTGCTCTGCTACTCTGTCGAATTCCTTGTTTTCCATTTCATTTTCTTATTCCTTGTGTTCTTTCTTGGGACCTTTAGATTGATGACCTTTCAGTTGCCATTATCGTTTTCTCTTGCCCTCTTTGCTTTGCAATGCCAGGCTTGGCGTACGGCTCTTTTGCAAGGGATGCTGCCGTTCGCAGAGGCGCAGAGGGACCGCGCTTCTCGCATACGCGCTTCTCACGTGTTTGAAAGGTCCACGGCATCAATGAACATTCGACTTAATACAGTAATAGTAATGGTCTCCAACCTACTAGCGATGGCCTTCAACCTACTAGGTTCTTCATTATATGCATATGAGTAACAACATGTGGCTGTAGTAGCACATACTATGTTTGCTCCTTTCCCCTTTTTCCCACCCATCTGTACGAACAAGAATGCTTTCTTCAAGGCCGACGGTCAAGATTTGGAGACCGTGGGCCCAGATGAGGAGACCGAGGTCGGGTGAAGTTGAAATTGATTTGTGAACCAAAGATGTTGCGACTAGGAGCAAGAGCGCTACTAGGAGCAAAGGGCATCGCTACTAGGAGCAAGGACGCTACTAGGGGCTCCTGGCCTTACTACTAGGAACAAGAAGCTACTATAAACCGTTTGCATCTTAAACATCTGGGAGATAGACTTGCTGGTCTGTATCCCGTCAAGCTCATTTGCAAGCCTGGCCACAGGAAATGTTGGCTTTGATGAAGGAAGAACATACGGTTTGCACCTGAGTCCTTTCTAAGTCCTTCACAAAGTGCTTCACAAAGTGCTTCTGCTTTTCGCCGTTCGCCCATACCCGTCAAACTCAGCGCTGAGGACTGGACCGAATTCGGGCAACCAAAGCACTACAGCCATGGAAATCCTTGGCGGCGCCTGTGGAAGGACGTGGCTCACGAGCCGTTTTCAACTTGTCACACGTTTTGTTTTGCTCGCAGGCAGATTTCAGGCATTTTCAGGCTACAAAAGCAGTGCAAGGCACTTCAACAATGTTCGTGCAACGCGCAACACCGCTGCACATCATTGCGTGCTCGGAAGGGTTCTCGGGATGCCCGCAGGAGCAGTGCTTTGATGCTGCCGCTCGAAACCTTCAATGTGGCGCTATGGAGCGGGGTGGGTGGTTTACCGCGCTGCTGCGGTGCTGGTTCGGTGTGGGATGTTTCCAGAATGTTTGGTGGGCGAATAATGATCATCCTGCCCGGGGCGAAGGCTATAGCGAGCATGCTGTGCCCAACAGCTAAAGAGTTTATGAAGTACAGTAGTTGCCTGTTTGTGAAGTATGTGGTTTGAGCAAGCCCTTTTGCAGTTGTTGGCCATAGAGGGGTTTCACTTATCAACAAAGATGGATTCTGCGTCTTACTGTCTTACTATTGGGTTTTCTGACTCCTACTAGCTTGGAGGCCATTGCTGGCAATCCCTATTGGCTTGGAGGCCATTGCTATCAGGGGGGAGGCCATTGCTTCTAGGTTTTCTGACTGCCAGCTCCCTCCTACCGTACCCTTCCCTCTTCACGGCCGATCCCCGGAGTGATCTCCTGCAGGACCTTTGCGAGCTCTCCATCTATGGTTTTTGCGCTGGATGCTGAAAAAACGGACACGCTGGTGGTCGTTGCATGAACGTGCCCTCAATATCGGCTGGTCGCCGCCCAGTCTGGGAACTACGATGCCCTCATGCCCTACTGTGGCACGTCGTGGGTGCGAGTCTTAGTGTCGGAGGTGGTGTGGAGGTAAAGCATGTCTCGACGCTCGTGGAGAGGAAGCTTTCTCGGGACAAGGACTGTGATCCAAAGCCAACTAGTGGCTTCTAGCTACTAGTAGCGATGGCCTCCAACCTAGTGGCTTTTTGTTACTAATGCCAGGAGCTACTAGTAACTCTCAACTGAAACCCGAAGCGAACTCATCTGACTCACATAAAGGCAGATCTGGAACTGAACCATCCCTAGATCGGCCTCTTCTGGGCATAAAGAGATCACTGAGATCACTTTCTTTTCGACTTGACCCACCTAGGCCGATCGTTGCTGGGGTGAACTGCACTGTTTGAAGGAGAGAACTGCGGAAGTGGAATGATGTGGAAGACATTGTGTTTTGAAATTGTGTCCTTGTTTCCAATAGCGAACATTGTTACTACTAGTAAGGCACTTGTTACTAGTAGCGTGGCACTTGTTTCTAATAGCGTCCTTGTTACTACTAGCAAGGCACTTGTTACTAGTAGCGTGGCACTTGTTCCTAATAGCTCCTTTATTGTGTGCGTTTTTTAGGGCAATTTTAGGCAATTTTGAACCGAGCGTGTCTTGAAAAAGGACACATCGATCAGGAGTGGCTTTGCACATCGATCGGTTGTGAAGAACGTCAGGAGTGGCTGGTGGAGAGATTGCTGGATGATGGACGTGTTTGGTGTTGGGAACTTGGAATCTGTGTGGGTTCCTTATTGCTTCAGGAAGGAATAAGGAAAGAACTTGCGGGCAAACCGAAGGTTTGATAAAAGATGAACAACATCAAAAGACACACTTTGATAGGCTGATTTCTTTTCGATAGAGCTTGCTTTGTTCGACAGCAGAAGGTGCGGTTCTGGATTTCAGCACTCACTGTAAAGGATTGCACATCTTGCTTTCCAAAGTCTTCAAGGCAACAAGATTAGAACGAAGGCCAAGAATGCTACTAGGTTGGAGGCCATTGCTATTATTAGCTAGACCTTAGAAGCTACTAGTTGGCTTTGCATCACAGTCCTTGTCCCGAGAAAGCTTTCCAAGATTAAAACGCAGGCGAAGAATGCTTTTGTTGACAATTGAAGCCACTGGGTCTGGTGAGGTAACGAGGAGTCTCTTTGCACCTCCGAGGAGCAAAAAACGAGTCTTGCAACACTTGGATAGTGGATGCAGCTTCATGAGTTGACAGTTTGAGAACGAGATTCAACACCAACATACAGTTGTCTTTGGATGATATTCGGGCATGGGGTAGTTAATGTTTAGATGAGGCCATTGCTTCTAGGTTGGAGGCCATTGCTATTAGGTTGGACGCCATTGCTAATATATGGAGGCCATTGCTAATAGGTTGGAGGCCATTGCTAATAGGTTGGAGGCCATTGCTGCTAGGTTGGAGGCCATCGCTATTAGGTTGGCCATTGCCATTAGGTTGGAGGCCATTGCAATTGGGGGTGTAGTTTATATTTTAGATGAGCCAGCATTTGGCTTCAGACCTCAGACGCTTCAGAATTCAGCCAGCTCGGCCACGTCGCTTGCGTCGCGTGCGTCGCTTTGCTTCGTCGCAAGCAATTCCGAGACACCGCTAATCAAAAGCTCCATCCACGAACGCCACAGTTGGCCTTGAAACGGTGTCATTTCTCCATTCAAGCGTTCAAGCTTCTTGTTACCTAGCGATGCCAGGAGCCCCTAGTAGCGTTCTTGCTCCTAGTAGCGATGCCTTTCTCGGAATTCAAGATGACTCCCAAATCCCATCCAACATTCAACACTCAGTGTTCGCGTTTTGAAGCAGGACGAGGATCGGCACCCAAGCAAACTCTGCGGGCGCCTGGCCTCAGGTGCGACGGAGGGAGCAGCCGGGCTGAGTGCCGAACATGAAAAAACACCTAAGAGCTTCTTGTTACTACTAGTAAGGCACTTGTTACTAGAAGCGATGCACTTGTTCCTAGTAGCTTCTTGTTTGAGCGAAGGATTTCCAGTTTCTTAATTTTTTCAGCACTTGGAATGTGGCTTAGCATCAAAGTTTTTGGGGTTTTGCCTTTGTATGCAGAAGGGGCAATCATCGAATATCATTCTGAAAAAAGGATTCTTTTTTTTCTTTGAAGTTTGAGTGGTCCAAGCTCTGGACATTTGTTGCGGACCCCGAGCAACAACACGAATGCACACGAAGAGGACTCAGCCCTGAACTTGGGCGTGCGGTCTCCGAAGAGGCAGGTGTGCAGAGCGCAGAAATGTGAGGGATGATGGGCTTAAAGTGGCTAAAGTGAGAAGTTGCTGATGATTATCCGTAAGATCCCGTAAGGCACTCATCAGCAAATTAGATCAAAGTAGGACGATAGGCGCTGTTTCCGTAGCCATTTTCGCTGAAGCATTTCGGCTTGGACTACTTCCAGCCATGCTACGGTCTCAAAGCACCAGCGTGCACAGCAACGTGCTGCCTTGGCACGCACGACGTGCGTGGCCGACGCAGCGTGCCGTTGAGGCCGTTGAGGCTCGGCCGTTGAGGCCGCTCTTTGGAGCCCAACTGGTGGCTCTGGTGGCTCCCGGAGCTCTCGTTTCTTCGCTCGCGTCAAAGTCACGTGGTTCGTCACGGCACGTCCCATCACAGCGGAGGATCCACACGGTGCGAAGAGGGCTCGTTGAGGATGTGGAGCAGGCATTGGAAGAGCTGGCAAACACTGCAGAAGATGCTCTTTTGCATGTGACCCGGCTGCCAGCCTGGCTGTCCTCAGAGCGGGACTCGCGGAGAAGTGAGGGGAAACGCCAAGTAGTGGTGCTGGGAACTGGCTGGGCAGCACATGCCATTGCGAAGATCATTGATGTGAGCAAAGTGGATGTGTGCGTGATCTCGCCCAGGAATTATTTTGTTTTTACTCCCATGCTCGCCGCAGCAGCTGTCGGTACGGTGGAGTATAGGTCGATTCTCGAGCACATCCGGAGCGCCAATCCGACGGTCGACTACTACCAAGGCACCTGCGAAAGCATCAACATGGAAAAGAAAGAGCTCCTGATTCGGCCGTATCCTCCAGGTCTGGAGAAAGACTTTGTTCTTCCATATGACGTTCTGGTGATGGCCGTGGGGCTTCGTCCCAGCTCTTTGGGAGTGCCAGGCGTTAGCACTCACTGCCTTTTTCTCAAAAACATCGAAGATGCCCGGCGCTTGCGAAAGCAAGTCACACAGAACTTCGAGGCAGCAGACCTACCCACAAAGGATGAGGAGGAACGCAAGCTATATTACCAAGAGTTTCAAAGGGGTGCTTAATGAAGGTTAGGGGTGCCCACTATCTACTCACTTGGGGACTAAACACCACCCCTTTGTGACCTCTGGTAGACCTTTTCCTTTTCTTTTTTTGTTGTTTCTTTCTTAGCAATGGCCAAGCACCCTACTTAGTAGCGATGACCTCTCCAACCTAAGAGCGATATGGCCTCCAGGAACGCAAGCGGCTTCTGACATTCGTGGTGGTTGGAGGAGGACCCACTGGATGTGAGTTCTGCGGGGAGCTCTCTGACTTTGTGAAGAATGATCTCCGCCGCTTTTATCCGAAGCTTGCTCCTTTGGTTCGCATTCTGCTTCTACATCGTGGGGCTAATGTTTTGCCATCCTTTGGTAAGGACCTGCAGGTTGCTGCTGCTGAGACCTTAGAGAAGCAAGGAATTGAAATCTTTACGAATGCAGCAGTGACAGAGGTGAATTCTGCTCAAGTACATGTAAAGATGAAGGGCAAAACAGAGGACATGATCCTTCCATGCGGCCTCACAGTTTGGGCTGCTGGGCAGATAGGCCAGGAGCTGGTGAGACATATGCATCAAGAGATCCCACAGCAGAAGGAGCTAGCTCAGGAGAAAGCGAACGGGAATGATAGCCAGCTTTTTGTCGATCGGTGGCTACGTGTTTGTGGAGTTCTGGATGGCTCCATGATCGCGCTGGGCGATTGCGCACGGATGAAGGATGAGGATCCATTGCCGCAGACAGCGCAAGTCGCTGCACAGCAAGGAGCCTTCGTAGCACGCATCCTCAACAAGCAATACGACCTTGCTGCAGAGATACCCACCCTTCCACCTGGTGGCAATGACAATCCTTTTGATGTTGCTCGCTTTGCATATATCCGCGGCCACACTGAAGCCATGCCGTTTCGATTCTTGGACTTGGGAAGGCTAGCATATTTAGGCCAGTCACAGGCAGTTGCAGAGGTGGGTGTTGGATCGACCACGGTTTCGCAAGCCAAAGGCTTGGCTGCCTTTGTGTTGTGGCGGTCTGTGTACATAGTCAAGCAGGTGAGCTTCCGCAACCGTGTACTGGTTCTCTTTGATTGGATCAAGAGCCGGCTTTTTGGCCGGGATTTGACCCGCTTCTAGGACAGGACTTGCAATTGGCAAATATGTCCGGGTACAGATGGGGGACGAAGAAGACACGGCGGACCCCTTGCATGAAAAGCGAGAAGCCGCGAGGATGCACAAGTCTCCAACCTACTAGCGGTCTCCCACCTAAGAGCGCTGGGGCCCTGTGATGAGAAAAGACACGAGCTAAGATCCAGTTGGACTTCGGAGAACAGAGCCGTTGAAAGTTGAAAGTCCTTTGCCACTTTACGATGTCATGTAGACAGAGCACAGCGCCGCGCAGCTCACCGCCGTTCGCATTGTGCTTGAAAGATGCCCCTAGTACGTAGCGTCCTTGCTCCTAGTAGCGAGGCCCTTTGCTCCTAGTAGCTTCTTGTTCCTACTAGTAAGGCCAAGAG